TGTTGGGACCCATTGAGGTCGTTACTACAGTTGATTTATTTGCTTACATTGCAATTTCATACTCAGTCATGTCCATTCATTTCATATCATACCTCAGTCTCTGTTACTATATATTGATACATCACATCATTATTTTGGTCTGATATTTCATGACATTGAGAGTCCGAGGGACTGGAGAAATTGATGACTGAGTGAGGTCGATGGCTTGATTGTGAGATATTATATTATAGCACGTGAGGTGTCCATGCAGATCCAGAAATTATACTATTGCACGTGAGTTGTCCATGCAGCACGTGAGTTGTCCGTGCGAATTATAGCGCTTAGGTTGTAGGAGCCCCTCCGGAGTCTGTACAGACCCCCAGTGAGCGCAGGTACCTACTGAGTGCGAGTGCCGAGTGTTGAGTGATTGGGAGGACTGAGCGATTGTGAGGACTAAGTGATTGGGAGGCTGACTGACTGTGAGGACTGAGTGATTGGGAAGACTGAGTGACTGGGAGGATTGAATGAATTGATACTCTGAGAGTATGCATATGGTCTTTACCACTGATTTGCATCGCATTTGGCATGCACACTTGACATACAGGCATAGAGATGCATTTTTCCTCATGTTGTATCATGTCATTTATGACTTCTCATACGTTTTGACATATGGGAATAGAGAGACATCTTACATTGCTATCTGAAAGGAAAATGAAACATCTTATTTATTGTTGAAATAATTTTTGGGGAAAATCACAGTTTTCAAACTTACTCATATTTTTAGCAAATTTTGGTAAAAGATTTGAGTTTTCACTGAAATACTTGAAAAGCATGCCTACTTTTCTGGAACTGTGAGCGAGCTGAGCATTTTATTTTTGAGATACTCCTTTTATTACTTGTACTATGCTGTTATGAATTGTTAGGGGGTATTGGTATTGGATTCGACCTTTGTTCTAGCTCGTCACTACTTTCAACCTAAGGTTAGGTTTGTTACTTATTGAGTACATGGGGTCGGTTGCACTCATACTATACTTCTGCACCTTGCGTGCAAATATTGACTGCTGACGTTGTTGTGATCGACGGGAGCCGGAATTTGAAGATGTATCTATGTTCCGATTATAGCTGCCTCTTGTTCATGGTAGCCCTAGATCTATAAAACTCTGTTTATGTACTCTTCAAACGGATGATGTATTTACTTCATTTCAACTTTGTAAAATCTATTCTTAGAAGCTCGTGATTTGTACTATCAGTCCTTAGGAAATGTATAGGATTTAGATATTTTCTCTTACTTAATCGTCTCATTAAATCTCATTGGGATTGGATAGTTGTTAATTGTCTTACCTAGCGGGTTGGGTTAGGTGCCATCACGACTAGTTAAATTTTGGGTCGTGACAGTTCTAATTGAGGCTATTGCTTCTGGAAGTTTAGGCAACTCATCATCTTCAAGTGCTAAACCATTATAAACAGTTTCATATCAAAATTGAGGACCTCCTAATTTTATACAAGGATTTAACAAAGCAGCAACACCATAAATAAGGGGAATTGGGAAAAAATATTTTTAAAACTTTTTTCTCATAGAATCAATAGCAAGTTGTTAAATTTTTTCACCCTGTAAAAAATGAGCAAACAAATTTGCAAGTTCTGCAATATAAACTAAATAGTTAGAAATAGTAGTATAATATTGGCCAGATTTATTTTTGTAGCAATATAATTTTTTTCTAAAAAATCAACAAGTATTTTAACATTAGCCCAATCCCCATTCGTAAGGTAATCGTCATCATCACTTACGTGTGCATTAAACGTTGAGTTTATGGAGTTTCTATATTCATATGCAACAACCAAACTTTCATACATGTAATTCCATCTAGTTGGACAAGGTTTAGAAACCTTTCTTTCTCTTAGGCCACAATCATCACATCTTTTAAAATATTCTCTAAGTATACTTCTACGGTTTGAATGAAAAAGCCACTTAAGAGCCATTTTAACCTTTTCAATTTGAAAATTTAAAATTCTCATACCGTCACCCACAATTAAATGGTAAATATGACAAATACATCTAACATGAAAAATATTACTAAATGCAGAATTTAGCGTAGTGGTAAGCAAGTCTATAGCATTTGTGTTATTCATAGTATTATCCATTGAAACCAACATTATTTTATCATTAATAAAAAATATCTGCAAATATTCGTAACTGTACTAGCAATAAATTGTCATGTGTGACGTGAAGCAATTATTCTATAAGTAATTATGCGCTTTTGTATTATCCAATCCTCATCAATCCAATGACATGTAACAATAAGGTAATCACAGTCGTTACTTCTACCAATATCAGTTGTAATAGCAACACGATAATTTATATGAGTAAATAAATAGCGCAAATATTGTTCATATTCATGCTTGTATTTATAACTATCACTCTTTACGGTTGTGCGAGGAAAACCTTTATAAGTAGGATTAAAAAATTTCTAATATAATGCACAAACATAGGGTCAGAAGGAAAACTATAGGGTAAGCACATAACAATTATCATTTTTGCCAATTCTTCCCGGTTGAAATTGATTTGAACCGGTAATAGGGTCAACCTGACTAGGACTAGGTACATTTTTCTCCTCGGCCAGAGCTTTCAAATGCTGATATCTTACGTTATCTTTAGGATGTTATTTTATGTGTCTAGCAAAAGATTTCATCCCCGACCGTGATCCAGTATATTTAAAAGCTAAACTCCATACCGCAAGTTTTACACTTAGCCTTATTTTTTGGAACTAGTTGAGTAAAAAATGGTCAAACAGGAAATGTTTCCTGCCGTTTGGTAGGTTCTCTAGAAAAAGTAGGGGCAGTAACGGGAGTATCAGATGGGTCATCATTTGGATTAACAAGGTTATCACTAGTTGGGTCAACATCAGGAGCAGGACTAGTGGGTGTATTATCGTCCGGTTGAGTTTCATCAAGATCAACTTCCTCATCATCATTTTCATCAATAGTATTATAATTATTAGAATAGAGAGCATTCATTAATTCGTGGTCTAAATGTTCACCGGTGCAATATTATGGCAAAATTTGGTGTCGCTAAATTTTAATAAACTATTATCGGTATCAAGAATAGTCGGTGTAGGGCGGGTATGGGGTTTGGTTCGGGGAGCTGGGGTAAGGGAGGAGGAATGACAGTACCACTAGATTTGCCAGTCTTGGATTTTTTCTTATTCTTATTTTTACCAAAAATATTTCTTAACAAAGGCATCTTAATTAATCAAGTAATAGCAAATAAATAAAACAAATAAAACTATAATATTAAGACTTAAGAGTCGGAATGAGTTTACCGAATTGACGAACAACTTGTTGAAAATTGATTATCGTTGAAGACTTGAAGACTTCAATTCACCAACTTCACAATTTTTTCATAAATTGTAACAACCTCAATATTTTTTGACTATTTTTTGGAATAAAGTAAGTAATAGTAGCAACCTCACCTTTTTTCACTATTTGTTTTGATAAAGTAAACAATTGTAGCAAGTATAGAAGAAAATTAGAGAGAGATTTTTATAGATTGATATTGATTTTATAAGAAAATGAAAGAATGATGAGGTATTTATAATAGAAAATAGGAGAAAGTGTAATAATAAAATATTTGGGGTTAAATGGCTATTTTTTAAATAGCCAATGGCTATTTTTTAAACTCCCAACAACATTTTATTTATTTATTTAAAATATCCATTGGGCCCGTTTGGCCCGCCAAGGGACCGGTTCGGTCCCAATCTCTTGGCGGGCCAAACGAGCCCGGTCCTAACGGTTCCTAGCTATGAACCGGCCCACGAGACCGGCACGAGCCCACCGCTAGCGGGCCTAACGATCCCAGCCCATTTAACCCACTTAGCTCGTGGGCCCGACCCACTTGCCACCCCTATTTGGGGCATTGATTTCATGGGAACTTTTGTGAGTTCTTGTGGAAATACCTACATTTTGGTAGTGGCCTTCTTGAAGAAGAATATTTTCACAAGATTTGGTACTCCACGTGCAATCATAAGCGATGGGGGGGTCATACTTTTGCAATAAATCTTTTGACACGTTACTTAGCAAGTATGGTGTTACTCACAAAGTCACGACTCCCTATCACCCACAAGCTAGTAGGCAAGTGGAAGTCTCCAACCAGGAGATAAAGAGTGTCTTGTCTAAAACGGTGAATGCAAATCGGACAGATTGGTCCAAGAAGCTTGATGATGCATTATGGGCTTATCGGACGACTTGCAAAATACCTATCGGAATGTCTCTATACCGGTTGGTGTTCGGAAAAGCTTGTCATCTTCCATTGGAACTAGAGCACAAACCAATGTGTGCTCTAAAAAAGTTGAATCTTGATTGTGATGTAGCCTCTAACTAGAGGGTTGCACATTTGAATAAATTGGATAAGTTCTGGTACCATGCGTATGTGAGTTCGTCCTTGTACAAAGAAAGGATGATATATCTTCATGACTAATACATTTGGAACAAAGAGTTCAAGGTGGGCGATCTTGTATTGTTGTTTAACACAAGGTTGAGAATGTTTCCCGGGAAGCTAAAATCCAAGTGGAGTGGTCCATTTGAAATTGTTGGTGTGACACCTTTTGGTGCATTAGACTTGAAGAATAAAAATAATGAAGTATTTCGAGTCAATGGTCACCGGGTAAAGCACTACTTGGACAAGGTTGGAGATAGCTACATGGTGGCGGTCATTCACTTCATCTGAGGGTATTTTATGTCGTGTTGCGACGTTAAATCAGGCGCTTCTTGGGAGGCAATCCTCTATTATGAAATGGCTAGGGGTACTTTTGTTCAAAATATACCCGCATTTAAATGAAATGGCTAAAGTCTAATAGCTCTTTTAAATTGTGGCTAAACGTTAATAGCAGAGGTAAAAAGTGGCTAATTACTAATATTACACGTAGATATCGCATTAATAAGCCCAATTGTTATTTAGCCCAACAAACTTCAAATTCACAAAGCCCATATACACTCTTCAAATTGGACATAATAATAAACTCAGCATAGGTTTGTTATTCCTGTCACAAACCCCTTAAACTCGCGCTTTGCTCCTCTACATCTCTTTCTCCGGCCGACGCCTCCTTTCTTCAGCTCCCTTATTCTGGTAATAAGTTTACTCAAGACTTCTGTCTAGCTTTGTTCCATAAGGAGAACCTAAATTGTAATTTTAACTAGCTAAATCTACATCCTTCTTTTTTGTTGCTAGTGCGGAAAATAATGGCTCTTTTTTCAGTAGTCGTTTATGATTTTACATGTTAATTTGTATTTTTACTCGCTATCCATGTGATAAATAGGTCCAAATTTGTGGTTGATAATATATCTGGTGAAACTAATGAAACTATTTTAGGTCGACCAAGAGTTTTAACTAGTTAGAATTTGTATTCTTTTTTTTCCTGCTACCTGTGAGTAATAATGGCTCATTTTTATAGTTATTTATAGCTTTTACAGGTTAATTAGCTTTTGAATTGCTACACATATGATAAATGGGTCCAAAAATTGTACTAATATGTTATATTTCCAGTGATAGTAATGAATATATTTTTATTTTTTTGGTTAGCAAGCTTATTTTGACAGATATGGGTGGTGCTAAAGCAAGGAAGAAAGACATAACTAAGAAGTTGAAGAAGGGTGCTACCGAATTATCTGCTTCTAAAGATAAAGCTGCTGACTTTTTGGTATGTTTATGCCATATTACAATTTGCAAAGCGTCTCAATGCTCAAGAAAGAAACATTGAGAACCGTTTTGTTTATTCTCGTTTTTTTTGTTTTTAGACCACAAGTTTCAAAAGTAACTGACCCCAGTCAATAACATCACATAAAATGGAACTGAGAGAGCACTCCCTTCAAGGAATTCTCTCCTCTAGAATAATGGCTGGGGATAGTTTTTTTTTTTGGGTGAAGATGCTGGGACAAAATTTAGTGCAGTCTTTAAGAAATTAAAAGTATTAGCACTACAGTTTAAACAGATTTCGCTGGTATGTAATTTTCAGCCAATGTGTATTATTCATGCTCAGTTATTCCCCACATCGCCCTAATTTACCATAAGGGTATGGGGGGGGGGGTGCTTCGATCATATAAAAGCTGCACTCTGTCATTTCCTTTGTTTGCTGTGCTTTGTGTAAACTAGGGTGTCATTACTGTAAAGGCAAAAGTCTATCAGCAGTTTTATTTTTTAAGAAGAGAAGAAAGTAGAGGACTTTCTTTTGGCAATGGCTTACTTTTTCTGCCTTGTGTTTTCCCCATACAAAATAGCCATTGGAAGGTGGGCCGGCTAGGAAACTTCCAGATATTGAAGTGCGGGAAAGTAAAGCGACAGTGTTGTATATTGGAAGGATTCCACATGGATTTTATGAGAATGAAATGGAAGGTTTGCATTCTCACATTGTGTTTTTCTTCCCCTTTCGAATGAGCCCCTTTAGCGTTTATCCTCGTTGTAGCATTACCAAGTTAAATAACTCTGTTGTGTCGTTTTCTGCTGCTGTTGTCTTTAGGTTTCTTTAAGCAATTTGGTACAATAAAGAGGCTTAGACTTGCAAGGAATAAAAAGGTTGATACTCCAACTAATCATTTATGTTTTATTTACTCTTGTGTAGTTTGATTTCTTTGTCTGGTTTTATTTTCTTGACCAGTTTTCATTTGTATGCTTGTTGTCACAATCTGAAAACTTCAGAATTAGAAAGACCCAAGCTTGTCGGAACTGGGCTTACTCAAGTTCCTAAAAGTGATGACATTTCTCATTATCTGTGATTAGTGATAGTAATTTAGAAAGGGTAGCTGCAGTGGCTGTAGATTTTAGCATATGATTAACTGATTCCAGAAAAAAAAAAGAGCACATGATTAGCTGTGGAGCTTTGCTGCAGTATGATTCCGTGTGTGAATATCCAAGTTCCCTACTCCCAGCCACATTTTCCAACAAAAGCCTTATTAGCATTTGCCTAGTGTAGCCCTTTTCTATCATACGTAACTGTAGCGCCAGATATTTTTTTCTTTCGAAAAAAAAGATTGTATCCTTCCCATTCTTTATGGGGTGTTGTAGTCTGTCATCTGTGAAGCTAAAAGCTACTTCCTGTAAATTAGTTTTCCTTTGCGTAAAGATTTTGATGTGTTCATCTTCTGAATATTTAAATTGTGGTCCAAAATTATGTGTGGCTTCGGAACTAAGGGCTTTGAGTAAGATTTATCCTTTAAATCTCTGTTCACAATACACTTCTATCTTTCTTATTGTCTTTCTATGCAGTAATCTTTTGATTTTGTCCTTACTTCCTTCTGTTATCTTGTGTCTTTTCCTCATGACAGACAGGAAAATCAAAGCATTTTGGCTTCATAGAATTTGAGTCCCCTGAGGTTATTCCTATTCCTGAGCAATTTATCCGTATTTACAGAATCCCAGAATCCATCCGGAGATTTTCTTTCCATTATCTTATCTTGGTTTTTTGGGACAATCGCAGGTTGCTAAAGTGGTTGCGGATACTATGCATAACTATCTATTGTTTGAGCACTTGTTGCAAGTTCGTCTTATTCCTCCTGAACATGTTCATCCCAGATTGTAAGAGTTTCATTTTTTAAAATGAATTGTTATGGATTAAATTCATCTTTTAATTTCACATTTTTTTGGATCGCTAAGTGGAAGAGCTCTTCAACACTCTCTTCTTTTCCTTTGTTCTTTCTTTTTTGTTTTCTTTTGGGGGGGAGGGGGGAGTTGGTGCCTAAAACAATATTAGGTGACTAGTCTTCCATTTCTAACCTTGTCATTCTTATTAAAATGAATCTGCTACTACGTGTCCTTGCTTAGGGATGGTAATGGCTTGCAAAAGACTTGTTAAAAAGAAGACTATAATGGCTTGCTGAAGTGGTGGTTGAATTAATGTTTTGCTCTAATTTGTATATTTGGTTCCAGGTGGAAAGGTGTGAACCGCTGGTACAAACCGTTGGATTGGGTGAAAATTGAAAGGAAGCGTCAAGACAAGGTAGGGTTTTGACCATGCGTGTGTGTGAGATATACAGATATTTACATGATTGTGCAAAAGTTCGAGATACATTGCTTTTTGTTCTATGAGCTCTCAAGTTTACATAGTAGTGCAAAATGTGAGATACATGGTCTGGTAGTCCTATGAGGTCTCATTGACCCTTTTTAAATATAAACTAAATGAATGCTGATAACTATCCAGGAAAGAACATTAGAAGAGCACAACAGGTTGGTTGAAGGAATTCTAAAACGTGACAAAAAGAGGCGAAAGAGGATCGAGGCAGCTGGAATTGATTATAAGTGCCCAGAAATGGTAAGAGACACAGTTTCTTTATTACATGTACTAATATCTTGTGCTGCAAAGTCTACTTATTTATTGCATGTTCCTAACTGGTCCAGGAACTACCTTTTTTTTTATCTTTGGCTAATTTGGCAGTTATTTGAATAGTATTTCTGTTGCATGAGAAATCATTTAATGATTGATCATGATGTCTTTGTTGAATAGGATATATTACACAAGAATTGTTTACAAATAAAATTAAGGAATTTGCTTGTATAATCTCAAGGATGGTAAAAAAAGGGTTGTTCCATCAGAAACATATAAAACGGCAAAGAAGGCATCATGCTTGAGAAATCTATGTTTAAATAGCCATTCCTTCAGAGGCATAAAATATGAGATTTTAGATGTGTTTCATAGTACATGAAGCTGTTGTATTTTATATAATAAACAGCATATATAGAATGTCTTAAGCTCAAGAAGATAGAAAGTAAACCTTCAAAACTTATTTAGGCAGACGGAAAAGTGGAATGCCGTCCTAACACTTCTGGAATTAGGTGTTGAAAGTTCCGATTAGGAAGCATAAAAGTGTATTTAACATTTACAATGTAATTTGCAGGTGGGTGCAATTCAGGCTGCTCCAAAGAAGATCAAGTTTGCAGATTAGATCATTCTAAGGCTAGTATATGCGCCAAAAATAGTATCTATGGCAACAAGCAGATCAATAATGTAGCCGCTGATTTGGAAGGTTGCCGGCCACATTATTTTGCTACAGTGTATGCTGCCAATGATCTCTGGACTATCGATAACCTTGGATTTCTTCAATTTTGACAATGAGAAGACGAGGATGAATTTTGCATTTTATATATGATTGTAAACCGTGAATCTATCATCTATTTACTGTAGAGCAGTTGCTTTTCTTCTTTTGTCCTAACCTCAATCAAAGCTATCAGAAACTTCTTTTTCTTTCTAACGTGGGTTCAGGTTTTCTTTCAAAAAATGATCCTACGACTTTACTATTTGTATGATTGTATCGAATATCGTTCATTAGGAAAAAATTAATGCTATGAAAACTGTGGAATTTACCCCCTTTTCGTTTTTAGATCAAATAGTATTTACAGTATTTGTCTAGTACTAATTGGGGAAAATTGACCTTTTATAGTGACGATAGTAGGCCATTGACTTTTTATTATAATGAAAACATTCGCTGGAATTTGATCTTACTTTTAATCATCTCACAAAATGCCTTAGCGCGTATTACTCGATACATTCAAGCCTCGGACGTAATACAAAAAGAGATAACAGACATGTTTCTATTAGTGACCTACAGTACTATTTTTCTCTGAATTTTATTTACTTGAACATCCTTTTCCTTCCCTGCGATCCAAATAAGTTGGTAAAGCCAACGCAAGATTAGGGCCGTACCCTTCATTCTATGGTGACCCAAGCTCGAGCTGGCTTCTCGGGAAGCCTGTTCCCAAGGAGCTCACGGCCCAACTTGCCTGCCAGCGGTAGTGGGAATTCTCCCATTTCTTGGTCAAAGACTTGGGAGATAGATCACATCTTGGCCAAATGCCAATCCTCCTAGTTTGAAAGAGAAAGAATGCAAATGTGCGAAAAAGATCACTCCTAACTAATCGGGTGTCACGTTTTATCTTTTTATACTGCCCTATTCTTGTAGATAGATCAAGAAAGAACCTTTGTATCGAGATCCTATAACTATTGATTCTAATTATTCTTTTTTTATTTTTGCTTTCATCGAATATGTCTTAGGATCCACGTGTTATGTAACTTTCTATGTATTTTATTTTGGCAATCGTGTGAATGTGTGATATATCCTCCCTAGTTCCTACTCCAATATTTTGTTCCTCTATTTCTATCCGTCCTCTTATCTTAGAATTTCTTCTCTTTTTGCGATAATATTGCATACTTTTTATTTCTTGTCGTCCTCAATTCTTTTATTAATTTTTCTTTAGATTTTGTAATATCACCAATCAAAGGAAAATTAATTTTAATCTTTGAACATTACTTCATATCAATTATTATATATGATCAATATTGATTGAGAACCTTAATGGCTAAGAGTTGAAAAGTTTCAACGCCCGTCTTACTCTTATTCCAGTTTTATCTTACGTTACATATTTTATGCATTGTTAATTTTAACAAATGATAAGTATACATCAAGTTCAAATACAGCATGTTATAAAACTTTATTAGTTTTCTTGAAAAGTTTATCCTAGTTTAAAAAAATCCACTAAATCTCTCTAAATGTTTGATCACATCTTTAGTTATTATTGTATATTAACTTAGCTCGTTGTAAAATCCCATAAACATCAAATACTGAATCCGTTTCATTTTATTAAAAAGGAGCTGAATGCTGATACACGTGGTGTCCAGCAATTTCAGTACGAGGGCACTTACATATACCTACCATACCCCCAAAAAATGCAAGAAAACGTCACAGGCAAGACACGAAACATACCTTTGTTCCCTTTTATATTCACAACACACAAGACAAATACTTTTCCATCAGCTGGCTGAAGAAAACTTAATGAGTGTGCAGAGTATTTAACAAAATTTTCATTCCAAAAAAATCAAATGTTTCTCTATACGGATAATATTGTAATACACATGTGTATAAATCTACTTTACATGAAATTTTAACCACTACATGAGTCTATAAGTTGAACAAACAACATATCTAAGGCTACCATTAAAGGCACCTAAAAATTTTGCAATCCAGATCTGAAGACAGATCTTCATCGATCGCTGTAAATAAATAACTACAGGGCAGTCAGCTATACAAAAAAAAATTAAAAAAAATACAAAAAAGAGAAAATTGAGCAGTTTGATACCTAAGCTGTTACAAGACTGAGTTAGTGCCACGCACTAATACATGTAAGACAGAAGTTAGAATGAAGCTTAATAACAGCTTGTAAGAGTCAATACGCGGTGAACTGTTGTTACCGATCTGTCCTGCATTGACATACTCAGTTTTCCCTCTGCTTGTGGTTGACGAAACATTAACAGCCTGCGAACCTGATATTTAAACAACAGGACGTGTGTTAGCATAACTTGATAACTGACTGAACTTATACTTTAATATACCACAGAGACTAACTATTTCGTCTATTGCAAAAAGTTCTTTTTCCTGGTAGTACATTTGAATCCTGAAATATAATACTGTATATCGAGTTCAGTCAAGTATTTACAACTTTAAAAGCTGTAAGCAATGTGTACTTATTGAGTTTGGCCAAAAATCATCTGAATAACAATGACTTACAATCGTAATTGGCCCATCCAATCCGTTGTCCAGCCAAATCGTAAACAATAATCTTGTCTTTTAGAACAAGGTCTGCACATAAATATAAACATATGAGTCAAAAATAATAAACTACAATGACGCAATCATCAAAACAAATGCTTATTAACATATATCAAATATGTAATAAGAATTATGAGTCACGAAAGGGATCAAAAGAAGTACGGGCAAAAACTGTAGCGTAAAAAAGAGATCCCACAGTCACATATGAAAACGAAAGCAATAACGAGCACAAATCAGGTAAACGTCTATCAGGTGAACTGGTATAGGGAAATTTTTTGTTGTTATAGTCCTTTAAAATTAACAGGATGTATACGAATCTCAATAACCAATTTAGCTCAGTAACATAGCAAGTAGAAATCAAAGAAAGAGATTGTGCCATGAGAAACACAAAAAAGGGAGTTCGAAACTGAGATCAGGTGCAGGGAAAAAGTCCACTCGTTTGACTTAAAGGAGATTACCTCCTAAAATTGTCAATCCTTGGCCCGGAATTTTCTGAAAGCCCATGCACCAGACAGCGGCGCCACCCTACAAAAGCAAGTGGCTAACTGAGTGCAAAACTAATTAAAAGCAATAGATTACTTTGACAAGTAGATTGCAGCTGCAATCACAATTAAATAGCTTTTGGCTACAGTCAAGTTTGGTGAACATAATGGAATAAAACATTGACAAAATAAAAAGTACCACATTAACGAATTTCTCTCATTCTTCGAAATGATAACTAAATGATAATTAGAAGTAAGTTTTGAGCAGGTCGACATGCTTAAAATATACCATAAGTAGGTAAAATAGGGGCAAATGGAATGAAATCATCTGCAGCTTAAGACTACATCAATTAGTTTAAAGAAAATTCGACTTACAATGGAGTTTTGCTGTATAAGGTAGTCCGCAGCCCTTAATACCATTGTTGCACCACCAGCAAAGGTCAAACTAACTGTTGGAAATATATCACCGACGCTGAGCACAAGAAAGAGGCGCTAGTCATATTTTTGGTACAAACTAAAGTAAAATCATCACAAAGAAATGAGACTGTGTCGAGAAGTTTTAGAAAACCTGGAGGTGGTTAGATAACACTGGTTTCCCTTGGTAACAAGTGGGCGCACATTCTGTGAAACAGCTTGATTGATCTGCACGAGACAAAAGACTGTAAGTCGTAAGGACCATTTCTGATGATATTTACCAACTTTGTTTCAGTAGTACGTTGATAACGGTACAGCTGAAGTGGATTCAAGCGAAACTTTTTCTAAATCACAACTGGCACGGAATTCACAGAATCTGCCTATACGATAACTTACAGCATTAATAAAAGGATCATAAGCTTCTTCAGCAAGATATGCCAGAGTCGTCCCGGAGTCAACTATGGTTCCTCTGTTGCTTGATGTTTCAAATACTTCTGGACTAATAGGCATTGTCTGCCCATTGAGAGCAATACTCTGAAGATTCAAGTTGTAATGTGGCCTGGTAACCCCAAAAAAAAAAAAAACGTGTTACATTCATGGTAAAGTTGGGATATCTCTATTCTCTGGAAATATGTAGGTAGGTGAAAGATATCCGAATCAAATGGTCATATCTATCTCTTATCGAAATTACATTTTCTAAAAATTAGGAAATCACTGACAAGTCATTCAAGTAACCAACTGGAAACCAGTTCTTTAGTCCACAATCTTCATTTCAATTTGAGCAATCAACAGACAGATTGAGTTCAAAAATCAGAAGACAGATGTTCAGTCCAATTCTTGTTTATAATCAAAAATAGGAAACTTCACACAAAATCTGGGTAAGCGAATTTCTTAGTCAAATGTGTGACTTTTGATTGCTTCTTTTTTATCATCTTAGACGAGATCTTGTTAAAGAACTATCAATCAAGAACACCTCTGCTATGCCGATATTTGGCAGAGATCAGTAAGCTTTGCAAGAAGTTTTGGCACAGAAAACGGAGAACATGGTCAGGGATTATCTAGAAAAACAAATGAAGTCATGCAAGCCCACTATGAGAGAGATAACATACTGTGATGGGACAAGTGGAGTGTAAACTAAATTTGGCTCCACAATCTGACCTAGCACCAAGATACCACCTCCGCCGTTACTTCCTTTCAAGCAATGGGAAAACACATTTGGCGTCACTCGTTGGGAGGAAAGTTGTGCGATAACTGATAAGCCCTGCTGCCCAAATCCAAAGATCCCATCAATTGCTCTATCTGGCTTAGTTAGGTCACCGGTCTGTGAAGTGCTACATCTGTGTCATAAAATCCCAACAACAATAAGGTTAAACAGTGACCAGTAGCGGAAAGTTGATAAATTCCCATCTCAAATTATAAAGATGATTGATAGCTCACCCAAAAACAACAGGAGCAGACGAGTTCGACGTCAAAGAATTCCCCACGATTGTATCGAAATGCATAAAATCTGCTACATAATAACCTGATGTCCCACTGCCATCACCATACTGGAACGTGTAACTGCACTGGTTTTGAGTAGAACAACCAGAGTCAGAAGATTGTTCTCCAAGAGCACATCTTTGGTCCGAACATGAGATCGGTCGAGCTGTTGACGAGGTTGATGGATCAAAGAAGTCTAGTTGAATCTGCTAATGGAAAGCAAAATGCAATCAAGCAGTATTCTTACAACTCTACGCTAACATGGCAATTTGCAGGAATAATGGTATCCAAACCTGAAGTCCACTAGAAGTCGGGCAACCATTACAAGAAGCACAACTAACCCACAAGACATCACTCCCAGTATCTATCTGTACATAGAATTCCTTTGGAGGGGAACCCAACTGAACTCTTGTAAAGTAAAGCCTGAAACAAAATGATATCCTCAACTAACATTCACTATGATGGATATATAACTTGTAAATCAATCATAAAACTACTCCAGGAAATGATTACCCTAAGCCAATAGACCAGTAAAAGTAACATTAAACCAAGAAAGATAGGGTAAAACAATCCAGAGGCAATCAATCCACCTTAATACATACTCAAGCTACAAACAATAAATTGAAACAGTAATACAATACTATTGCCACCAGACACTTTCTTTCTCCATTAAATTCATAAAAAAGAAACAAAAAGAGAGCTACCCAATTTCCAATATAAACTTTACATAAAGAAAGTAACCACTATTACCCAAATTATCAATAAACTAATTAATTATCAGCTAAACTTCATGAAACAGATCATCAAGAACAGTTGTTGAAGCTAAAATCATGTCATCATTCAACACTTCACTAATAAAAACAACACAAAATAGAGAAGAATTTGTATTAGTAATTTAATACCCAACAAGAAATGGATCATAAGTGCCTTCAACAGGGAAATCAACAACCCCATAAGAAGATTGCAAGATTCGTCCATGTCTAACTCGGTCACGCGCTTTGAGTTGACTCACTTCAACTCCATGACTCGTCGGAAAAGCTCTTTCTAACGGCAGTGTCATCGTCATTCCATCACTCACCACCGCCGTCGCCGTCGCCGGTAAAAACACACACACAAACACCAAATATACCACCGGCGACATCATCACTTTAAACTCACCGACAGATAAATTTGTATACGTATCTAAAGGTTGGTATGAGACATATCAACAGATATTAATATATTTATGTATTATATATGTGTATATATATATATATATATATATATATGTATATATATATATATGACGAATGAGTATTTTTGTATGAATAAAGTGAAGAAACAGAGGGAAAAAAGAGGAGGAAAGAATCGAGGGAAAAAGTAAGCACTCTGTTTTTGCTCCTTTTGAGAGAGGAAAAAGAGGAGAGTGAAACGATAACGGAATTTTTTCAAATGGTGGAATTGTGTTGCGTATATATATATATTGTCTAAATATATTATCCAGATGTACTATATGAGTACAAGTTACTTTAATGTATAAATATTATTTAATATTTTGGGAAAGCTTATTTAATGCACGACTCTTACCGTTTCAATTGATATATAACCAAATTTATCTTGCGTAAAGTTTATTAAAAAATACTTTTGGATTTTATAGTATTAAATCTGTCATGAATTTATTGCTAACAGTATGTCGTTGAGATTAAAAAAAAATAAAAATAAAATTAATTTTAAATATAGATTGATGTTATTCTTTTTAATGGACTAATAAAAATTAGTACTCTCTCTGCTCCACAATAAGTGATTTTTGGTTGTTTTCACACAGATTAAGAAATTCACATTTTAACATTCATTAGCAATGAAATCGACCATATTAACATTTATTATCTCTTCACATAAACACTCCTAACACATACTCCAACACTATTTACTCCAATGGCAGTCTAGGAAAAAATAATTAATTCATTCTTGAAATATGAAAAAATCACTTATTTTGGACCACAAAAAATGATCAAAAAATCACTTATTGTGGACCGGAGGGAGTACGACATAAAATGTAACAAAGGTGGAAGCAGGGGCATATTTAGGGGGCCAAAAGGGGTTCACCTTATTCGCCGGAAAATTACACGGTACATATAAGGCAAAATTTATTTTGTATCTTTATATATTATATTTTGAATAGTGGTCAATGAGGTTCGAAATTTTTGCAATGTCATTAGTTTAATTCCCACTAGTCATGATCTCATCAGACACCGTCACTGGGTAGAAGAGTACAACAACAACAAAAAAAACCAATATTATCCCACATAGTAGGATCTAGAAAGGTAATAAGCAAGGACATTAGATTTAAAGGCAAACTAATAAGAAATTCACAAAATAATGCAATCATACTGAGCAACGAATAAAGCAATAACGATAATTGAGAAATAAAAGTAGAAAAAAATGATATAAAATATAAAATGATAAAATTTATTAGAAATTTAAATCAGAAAGCGGTTTGAGTTATAATGACAAAAATCATACATATGTAAAATATCACGTAACTTAAATAAAGTCAAAAATAAAAAATATTAGGCAATGGAAGGATACCAAGCAATAAAGCATCATTTTAAAAGAGGGTTGACTTTAGTAATTAAATCTAAAAATCAAAATTTTAGTAAAAAGTCAAAGGAGAAGAAAAACTTAATTTATAGGGATATAATACAAAAATATCAATTATTAAAAAAATTAGTAGAATTATAACTAATAAAGAAAAAACTAATTTATATTTTGGACGAATTCAAATGAATATATACAATGGAAAAAGTTTCAAGAAAAAAATTTAGGAGTAAGAAAAATATATATTTATATTTATATTATATTAAAAAAAGAGAATTAACAAAAATATTAAGTCAAGTAACAAGCTAATAAAACGTCATAGTAAATTAAAAAAAATACTAAATATAGTAGATTACGTAATAAATAAAAGTGAGAAACTAAAAAGTTATTCGATGACCGTATGAATCTTTTCTAATTATATAAGACTTTTTATTAGGCATGTTTTACTGGATAAAAGGGAATTGAAATTTAATTCAATCAATATGATATAATGTGGTCAAACAAATTAGATAACACAATATGATTTATATTCTACGCTTATCGAGCGGATACTATATTTGTCATAATTAATACTTTGGGAAAGTTTATTTAATACACGACTCTTACCGTTATAATTTATATAATCTAATTTATCTTGAGTAAAGTTTAATAAAAATTACTTTTGGATTTTATAGTATTAAATATGGCATGAATTTTTGCTAAAAGTATGTTGTTGAGATTAAAAAATTAAAAATCAAATTAATTTTAAATATAGATTGATGTTATTCTTTTTAATGGACTAATAAAAGTTAGTACCACATAAAATATAACAAAGGTGGAAGAGTACTACAACAACAATCTAGTGTAATTTTACATAGTAAAGTCTGAGGAGGATAAAGAGTTTGTGGACCTTACCCCTACCTTGTGAAGGTAAAAATACTATTTTCGAAAGAACCCGGGCTCAAGAAAAAAAAAAAGAAGCAGGAATAAAAATTGGAACAAAAGCAAGAAAGGTGGAAGAGTGGATTTTTTTTTCATTCTTTTGTTGAATTTAAGTTATAAATATTGATAATGTAAATAATTAGTCCACTGTAATTGATATTTCATGTTGATATTTCACCAACTATACTATATATTATTGTACCATATAAAGTACAATGAAGATTTACCTATGTTAATGTATACTTTATTTTATAGTGTAAAATTTCGTATATCAGTGAACAAAACTTTTAAATATATATTCATCAAATGTTGTGAAGCATGCTTTCTTTTATTAATTCCATTTTTATTGTTATTTTGGTCCTATATTCCTCTATAGTTGGTTTGTTAGTTGGGGAAGCTTCACTCTGTCAGAGTAAATTAGATTATACTCTAACTACGAATTTTTTAGATTATCTTTCATTACTTGGGATTGTAAGGATTTTTATTTCTATTCCTTGCATTAATAGAGATTCATATAAAAACGAGTTTTACCCATCTGAAACAATCAGTAAAATAATTATCATCTTTGCAACTGGAACTGGGGTGTACAATTAATTAACACTATTTTAACAATTGTAATTATTTATCATTTTGTTTTATTTCTCGCGGCTTGGGAGTTAAACTAATATTTGTCATCGACGATAATGTCGTATAATCCAGCATTTTAAAGCATGGTAGTGTGTATTGACCTTTATAAGGTCTCTGGGTTTATAAATTATACAATCAATATAAATTTATATATAAATGTCCTAATTAATCAATATAATTAAAATAATGAATTTTAATTCATAGGTACGTTGAATATCGTGGATAAATGTGGAATTTACAGGAAATAATTGTAGCCTTGTAGGAAGACATTGTTGAAAGAACAGATACACGTGTAATGGAACGTGATGCAATTTAATTAGGAATTCATTTGATTAAAGTGTTTTCTGTCGAGAAAAATAATAATTAAAGTTAATATTCTGTTTTTTTTTTTGGCTACAAAGGAAAATATAATATCCTGAATATCATTGTTCCTCTAAGTTATCAGATTGCATGAGCTGTTCCCCAGGGAATATTACTTTTCTATTTATGAAAAACAACTCAAATATGGAAGGAAGATGTTGAGCTTGACAGCCAGAAATTATTTCTTTCTACCCCCAAAGCAAAAACACATGCTTATTTAAAAACAAAATAAAAATAAATTGGGGCCAGTGATATAAATTCTTATTCATTTAAGCTCAATTAGTATCATCATCATAGGTAACACCTGTATAGATTTCCTCTTCCGTCATGTCCTATCCTTTGCTAAGTTCGCATTAATTTCAACGATTTGAAAGTCTTTTAGACAACTTTCTTCCATTTGATTTTAGGTCTCCGTCCCCTTTTATAGTTTCACACCTACAAACTGATGCATATGTAGATCGACACATGACATGACTGAATTATCCCAAATGATCTTCTGTCATTTTATCCTCAATGTGTGCTACTTACACCTTTTGACAAATGCGTTAATCTTTAATCTTATCTAATTTTGTGTGACTGTACATCTTAGTATTCATATTTTTGCAACACTCATCTAGTGAATAATGAATATGTTGAACTTTAGTACTCCAACATTCACTAACCATATAATATAGTCGATCGGTCTTATAGCTATTCAAATATAACAATTCAACTGGCCAGTGATATAATCTGCTTTAGATATGTGTATACATCTTTAAAACCGTCATTAGAGTTTGACACATGCATCCTCAAACCTAATATCTCTCTTATATTTGCCAAAATGACTTTTTTCCCTTAATTTGTTTATTTTATTTATTTTTGGATCCAAGTTTTAGAGTTGCAACTGACCTGAGTAAAACAGAAGGTAAACCTGCTTGACATATTTTGACGATATTAATTTTGGACTGTCCAACAAATAAATAAAGAAATTTTAGACATACTCAACTGTGTGTATAAAGACACACTTTCAGCAACAGTCAGATGTGTGTAATATTCAGATGTATTAGTTGGCTTAATCGAAAATGATTGCAGAACTAATTTTGATTCCTACTTTATCAAAAGTAAATTTAACAAAAAGCGTCGATACTGAGATTATGAAAGTGACAATAGTTTATAATATAGTTATTCCATTAATTCTTGCGACCCATTTTATGTAAATGTGTTTCATCGTGCAAATGCATACAAAGTGCAAGCCAAAATATGTGCAAAGTAAGTACCAAAATTATTTTTTAAATGAGTGTGCTGAGAATTTCACTTTTTTTTTTCTCTTCTAATTATAGATGAATGAACTTTCTATCAAACGGATTTCTACCTATCATATTATAAAGGATAAAATTGGAATGCTAATTTTGAGCTTTCCGATCGTAATTTTGAGTAAGTAAGCGACTAGTGATACTCCCTCTCTTCTCATTTCGTTTTCACGTTTTGATTTTCGACAGTCAAATTATACTTTGACCAATATTTTAACATGTATTTTGCACTATATTGGTATGAAAAAATTTATAAATTATAGTACTTTTTGAATAATTTTTAAATATTTAAATTTTAGTTTTAAAATATTAAGATAATTTATTCTAAAATAACTATAAAGATTAATTAAATTGATTCTCAAAACCGAAACGCGACAAACAAAATGGAAACGGAGGGAATAGACTGTAGTATAATTTTGAGCATTCATTGACCACTAGAAAAATTTCTTTCCTTAGCTAAGAGGGTTATCTCCAAAATGGGTCCATACTAGTAGTCTAGCAATAAGAAAATCATTGAGTCACACATCTTTCATATGTTAATTGTTTTGAAATAATAAATAAATTAAAGCCTCAAGCAAATACCAAGAACTTTCTTTGACATTGTACTTTAAAGTGTTTTCAGCCACAGTTCAAATTTTGTTCTTGAT